TCAAACTCCTGGGCTCAAGCGATCCTCCTGCCTCAGCCTCCCGAGTAGCTGGGACTACAGGCATGCGCCACCATGCCCGGCTAATTTTTTCTATATTTTTAGTTGTCCGATTAATTTCTTTCTAATTTTAGTAGAGACGGCGTCTCGCTCTTGCTCAGGCTGGTTTCGAACTCCTGAGCTCCAACAATCCGCCCGCCTCAGCCTCCCAGAGTGCTAGGATTACAGGTGTGAGCCACCGCGCCTGGCCTCCCGGCTATTTTTTAAGAAAAACTTCAGTGTGAAATTTGGCTTTTAATGATTGAAATACTGACACTTTGGACCCAGCTGAATAATCATTTCAGATACGTCAATAACTAAGCTTAGCGCTATAAGTCCAGGAAGTGGCACCCATGAAGTACATTTATGCATGAATTCTCAAACCCTGGCCTGCCGTGGAAGATCTGAAATACTAACATCTCCAAAATCAGGTAATAGCACTCTCATCTCCTTTTGGAAAAGTAAGCTAATAAATAGAATGTTCTTATGATAAACTGCACTTCCATAAACTTTTCTTAAACATTTAGTGTTGGCATCCACCTTTTGTGGTCAGTGTTACCAAACTCCAAAGTAAATGAACAGTCATATATCACATCTGATAACAGGCATGGCTGGCTCCAGTCGCCTGACTTTTGGTGCTAATGCTTACATTATTTATTTTATGTTATTTACATGTATTTTTATTTAAATGTTGTAGTGTTTTTGAACTGTGACAACTGCAAACCAAAAATAGAGCAATATTTTTTGCGAGTAAATTAAATCTTACTTTATATGATGAGGTTAAGTGAATCAACGCTTCATGATCTTTTGCAAAACATCATGTTTTCTGCATGTTCTACCACCTGAACAAGTCTGAGACCCTGCAGGCCTGTGCCAGAACATGGCAGTAAAGCTGTCCATGGTGGGAAGCCCCATCCTATAGCCCCAGGCGGGCAAGGAAGGGCCAAGAGCTGGAGGAAGAGTCCCCCAAGAGCAGCTGTTCCCTCAAAGGACTCCGTTAACAGGGAAGTCTCTCCCCAGCAGAGCCGCACACGCTGCACGCCTGGGCTCACTGCTCATGCTTACAGAGCTGGAAGTCTACCTTCTTGTCGGAGGTCCTCAGAAGCTCTGTGTAAATCAGCCAGATCTCCATCCACTCCATCAGTAAAATGAATGACCACCTGAAAATAAAAAAGGAATCAAACCCCAGCCCAAACAAACAGGAACACCACAGACTGTCTACTGAAAGGGAACTGAGAGATTCGCTGGTTCCAACTCATTTTATAGTTAAAGAGACTGAGGGCCAAAGTCAAGGAAAACTCACCCACATGCATAGGTCTTTGACATTGCACACGAAGTGGAGAAGTATATGTTAGTGCTTGCACACAAGCAGCAACGACAACAAAAACAGCTTACGTCACTCTCCCATTTATATGATGTAGCTTCTGGAAATCGTGTATGTGTGCACTGCGCGTATGTGTGTGTTCTGAGCTGAACTGTGTCCCCCCCAAAATACAAACATTGGAGTCCTAATCCCCAGTCCCTCAGACTGTGACTGTATTTGGTGATAGGTCTTTAAAGAGGTAATTAAGCTAAATGAGGTCATCAGAGTGGACCCTAATCCGAGTGGTGTCCTTCTAAGAAGTGAAGATGAGAACACAGACATACACAGAGGGACAGCCCAGTGAGGACACAGGGAGAAGACAGCATCGACAAGCTGAGAAAAGAGGCCTCAGAGGGAACCAACCCTGCTGACACCTTGAGGACTTCAAGTCTCAAGGACTGTGTGAAAACAAATTTCTGTTGTCAAAGCCACCCAGTCTGTGGAACTTCACTATGACGGCCCTAGATAATTAATAATAATAAAGCGTGTGCACCATGGGTGTGGTACATACACACATACGAGGAGAGAGAGAGAACATGCCTTATTTAATGGGTAGGACTATCGTTAAACACGCATCAATCACACATTCGACTCATTCAAACTTAGTTACTGATTTCCAGGATTTTTTTTCTTTAGAGCTTAAGTAAGACTAGCAAACTGAGGAAGGAGTTACATGAAGTTATGATCAGTTAGTAAGTAAAGGACTTCTACATACGGGCACTAAAAACGCCGCCAAACACGAAATGCATTGCACGTGGGGGAGGGGCTTCCAGACACCCAAGTATTTCTCCTTTCCGGTAAAAATGCAGAAATTGCGCGGGGAGCATCTGAACCGAGGGGCCGCTGCTCACCTTCACGCTGTCGGGCGAGGACTGTCTGAACTTGTTCTGATACATCTTCAGCGTGTCTGCCGTGAGGACGTAGGGGTGCTGGCTGCGCATGTTCTGGAGCTTCTCCAACATCTCTGGCTGGTACTCGGCGAAGTCAAAGGCCTCCACGGGCCCCGAGGGGGTGTTGGCCGCCACCGACACGCGCACGGTGGGCATCTGGTTGCCGCTGCAGCTGATCCTTTGCATCTGGCTGATTCTGTTCAAGATGGCTTCCAGCTTGGACTCGAGGCCCTTCTGGGCCACAAATATGTTCTGGTCTCTCGAACCGTCAAACCCCAGGATCACATCCAGATTACAAGCTGAAGAGAAGAAATGCGGGCGATGAGCTCTAAGCTGAGGCTGACGAGATGCATTCTACTGACACAGTGACAGGACGCTGTGCTCAAGAACAAAATGAGATCATCTCTTCATGAGATCTGAGAAGCAACTGGATCTGCCTCCCACACAGGGAAAAGTGGGGGTAGCTGTTGAGAACCAAAATTGTAGGCAATGTGAATACGTTTGCTTTTTGGGTGATGTTAATCAATTTTGGCGTGATGACACACAGGTGGCTTTTAGACACATCCCAAGTTTGTGCTTTAAATTAAAATTACTTGAAAAGGCAAATACTTTTATCTCAAATAATTGATCTGATAAATCTATAATCAGACACGAGAATCAATAAATCTGAGTTATCTGAGGAGTTAAAGAACAGGGGAGAAAAAAAATCTTATAAGAGCAAAAGAAAAGATAAACTCCCACTCTTGTCCTGGAAGAACATCCGATGGCAGTGGTTGGCCGAGCAACAGAAGGAAACACGAGTAAATGTATGAAGTAACCAAATGCTTGAGGAGCCACGGATCGGCTCTGGGCATCCAGATAGCTAAAAAACACAAACGTCAGCAGGAAAGGCTGGAAAATATGCACGGAAAGGGGGTTACCTTTGGAAACATCAGACACGCCTGGGCATAAGGTCTCATGCATTGCGTCATGCAAAGTTTCCAAAACTTGCTCGCTCAGTTCCGACAGCTCCTGAACGTTCCCCACCCGGAATGCCGTGGCGCTGTTGGACGCTATCTTTCCAACCTCCTCCGAGTCGATGTTCCTCACGCCCACCGCAAACACCTTGACCCCTCTCTGGGTGAGTGCCAGGCTCACGTCCTGAGCGTCCTCCGCTGACTTGCCTCCCGTGACCACAAAAGCTATCTGGGGCACTCGCTGGTCCAGGCGGCTGCCCGCCTCGGGCACGAAGTGGTTGAGCCGCAGGTGCTCAAGGCCCACCCTGGTGTTGGCGTGTCTTCCCCCCTTGTAGACCACTTTGTTGATGGCGTCGATAATCTGCCTCTTGGTGGAAAAGTCCTTCAGGAAGAATTCATCTGTGGGGTCGGAGTTGTACTGGACCACCCCCACCTGGATGGAGTCGCCCTCTTCATAAACCGTGTCCACAATTTCAGAGGCGAAACGGAGCACTTCTTGGAAACTGTCCCTCCTGAAATTGATGGAACCATCCAACAGGAACACGATGTCTGCTTTCTTCTTCTCTAAAAATGATTAAAGTGAAAATGGTTTCAATGCCCAGAACATAAATATATAAACTATAAAGTGAAAGAATTGAAATAAGACATTCCTAGTAATTTATTCACAGTAAAAAGCTTCACTCTAATCCACACCTCTCTAGTTCCCGAATCCACAGCTCGCAAACATAGTGCCAAAAAGAAGAAGACAAATAACAAATCATCCAAACAAAAAGGAAAGGAATCATGAAAACCCAGGGACATAGAGTCCCACCTGTCCCATGCAAAGTAGTTTTATGCCAGGAATTCAACAGGGACCTGGATTTGACAGTCTGTGATCTTAGGTGTTTTAGGAAATGCCCCTAAACTCTTTCTGCTTAAAAATAAAAGATGGTGTCTGGAAGTGGAGAGAGACGTGTTAGGGGCAGGGCAGGGAAGGGCTGGGAGAAGCAGATGGGAAATTGGGAAGGGACCCCATTAACTTTGGAGGATGGTCTGAGAGCTTTGTGGGAGCCTGCTGAAACCAGTGGCGTGGGGGGCAATTTCTTGATTATAATCAAGCAGTTGAGGCCGGAGTAGATAGAAGGAAAAGTTGGGGATGGCCTGAGAGGTGTGAGATGTGCCACAGCAAGCCCTGAGGGAGGCAGTGACAGAGAGAAGCAGGAATACAGACCCCTTGGAAATCCTAATGATTTGCTGCAGGTGTCTGGAGACCACCACCTGGAGGAGCAGCGAGGAAAGGTGTGGGTTGGTGCAGAGACCCGCTTTGCTCTTGGCAGCCAGGAACATGGGGTAGGAGCTATAGGTGGACAATTGTAAGTCCTCCAGGGAGGTGTTTCCTGACGGTCACACCAGTCTGAGGAAGGAGGCGTGCCTGGACCGTGGTGGGCATCCCACCACTGGGCACAGGCTGACGTCAAAGTCACATTCGTGGGGAATGGCCTGGCTGATCTCGAGGACGCCATCCTAAGAGCCAGTGCGTTTGCAACTACCCCTCAATGCACCTTAACAGAACCTGTCACTGGGGCTACAGCTAGCCTCGGGAATGACAGAGCAATGATCACGTGCTTTCTGGGATATGTTTCCCTCTATAATTTCAACGGAACTATTTTTCCAGCACTTAATTTCTAATATTACCTGCAGAAGCAACATTGAGAGAAGAAAATTACTAAAATGAATGCTACTTTTTCAACTAAACAAAAAATCAATGGCACACGCCCTAGTCATGAGACACACAGCTCGTACCTGGCCGTGAAGGAGGCCGTAGGTCCACCCCTGGAGGTGCAGGAGTGACTCCGGAGGGTTCAAATGAACTCATGATCCTCTGGTCTAAGCTGGGAAGCTCCCTGAACTCTCGCACTGTGAAGACCAGTCTGGGGTCATTGGTGATGGTCTGCAGCTCGGTTCTGTCGATGTTCCGGTCTCCTACCCCTAAACTCACAATCCCTGAGGAACGTATCACCTGTGCAAACCTGGAAACATCATCTTGGGATTTCCCACCCAGGACCAGCACCAGGTGCTGGGGCACCCCGTCTTCTATCCGGCTCCCAGCAGACTTCACAAACAGATTTCTTGCCACGAACTCCAGAGCTTTGCCAGTGTTCAGCGGGGACCCCCCTTTGAACCTCAGGCGCCGGATGGCGTCCAGCACGGGGGCCTGGGATTTGTAAGTCTTCAGATAGAATTCTGGGAAGACATCATTGCTGAACTGCACCACCCCGATTCTCACTTTATTGGGCCCGATGTTGAGTCTCTGAACAATCCTGCTCACAAAATCTCGAATGTGTGCGATGCCATCAGACCTAACGCCATCAGAGCTGTCAACTAGAAAGACGATGTCGGCAGCATCGCTCTCAACAGCTGCAGGTGAAAGAAAAGAGGAACATTGAGCATGTAACTGGCCCCCATCCAGTCGTGTTTCTCAACTTTGCATCACATCACATCATAATATCCATCAACCTTAAAATTATACCCCAAAACACGTGGGTTGTTCGCGCCTTGGGCTTTTTGAAATTAACCATTAAAAATTAGACCTTTGTCACCAAAACAATGTCCACCTCTTGAAATATTTTAAGTTCTCCATAGCTTTTTCTTTCTGAGTTTACTCCAATTTTAGCTTTGTGGTCTGGGTTACCACTAATTTTGTAAACATAAGAGCATTTAGAAACTAATCCCGGATTTCTGTGACCTGTGGAATCACGAACCGTTACTACCAGAAGAGTCTGACTTCGCTGGGACCAACATCTTTGTCGTACAAGAAGAGAGAGACATCTGAGGTCAAAGGTCCTCGTCCTGTCGGAGGCCACCCCTTAGCGAGTGACAGCCGTGAGGATCCTGACTCCATCCGGTGACCGGTCCTGGCTCAGCGCACGTTTAATACAACACCATCGACGGCGTCTCCTCAAGCTCCCCAGGTATTGGCTTCCTTCTGTTTCGTTTTGCTCGCGCCTCTCTAGCATTTATACAAAGTTTTTATTTCCACTATTATTTCTCCTATTTTCTTCACATGAGTCCATTTTTAACTATAAAATAAATCAAAAGGACCCAAGGAAAATGAGCCACATTTTCCTATTACTTAGAATTTTATGTACTTCTTACATGCCACTTTATTAAACAAACAAGCTGCCACTGAACAAATTTCAACCCGCCCTTGGCCTCGCGCTCTTCTGGGCCAGTCCCCGTGCGTGGGCAGCGCAGTGAGCCGAGCAGGGCGCGTCCTGAACCATCCACTCTGGCCCAGCACACACAGCCTCAGGGCTCTCCTCTTGAGCGCGACATCAACATCAGACAAGGCCGCTCTGAGACCGTGATGGGGCGAGACGAAAGGGAGCCCACTTTGCAGCCATGTCGGAACACATACAAAAAGAAAAACGTGCTCCAGACCACAAGAATGACAAGCACCCCTGGCCTGGCTGACAGGAGTGACTGCTGCTGCTTCACCCATCCCCGCCACGGCCTTCCTCCTCCAGGTAAGATCTGTGGACACAGCCAGGCGTAGAGTTACCTCCACTGCTTCGCGACACCCAATCCAGGCCGAAGTCCCACTTCCTTGGGGCTTCCACACAGTGACCTGCCCTGGCTGAGGTTCCCTAAGGCCTTTCTAGCACCCTCTCCCCAAGCTGCCCCGTGGCTCGCTGGGGTATGCATCTCCCAGCGTGGTCAGCGGCAGGTGTGTCCTGGTGGACCCTGGCTGGTGGACATTAACAACATAAAAGTCCAAGAGCAAGACCTTTATTTTAATTTATCATGAGCACCATAGCCTTTGAGCCTGTTTGTTTAATATCAAAAATACTCTGAGGAAAGCGATCGCCACCATGATCTCACCTGGGGGAGGATAGCGGGTGCTGGCCAGGATCCGCTGGATCTGCTCAGAGGTGAGAGTCGTGATGGGAGTGAGCAGCTTCTGCTCCAGGCTGGGCAGCTCGCGGAAGGTGCTCACCGAGAACACGTACTCGGGGCTCAGAGCGATCTTGACCAGCTCCTCCTGGTCCACGTTCCTGGCTACCGTGAAAGGCGCCACACCAAACTGCTTGAGCTCCACGGCGGAGTTGTCCACCTCATCGTCGGACTTCCCAGAGGAGACAAGGACCAGAAACTGCGGGACGCCCTCCTCGATGCGGCTCCCCAGCGGCCTCTTGAAGATGTTCCTGGACACGTACTCCAGGGCGCTGCCCACGTTGACCTGCCTCCCGCCCTTGGGTCTCAGCCGCCTCACCGCGTTCTGCACCTCATCCTTGCTGGAGTGGGCGTTCAGCAGGAACTCCACCTTGGGGTCCTCGCTGAACTGGATGACGGCCACGCGGGTGGTGTCAAAGCCCACATCCAGGTAGTCCACCAGCCGCTCGACCAGGGTGCGGATGTACTGGAACTCGGGCGCAGCACTCTGGGACCCGTCGATGAGAAAGACCACGTCCTTCTTGCTGCCGACACCTGTGAACCAAACCAAATGCCACAATGGCATCATCCTTGTTGGCACCAAATTCTTTTTTTTTTTAGAGAGACAGAGTCTCACTCTGTCACCTGGGCTGGATGGAGTGCAGTAACTCCATAGCTTATTTGAGCCTTAAACTCCTAGGCTTAAGTAATCCTCTGGCCTCAGCCTCCTGAGTTGCTGGAACTACAGGTGCATGTCACCACGTCCAGCTAATTTTTTTATTTTTTGCAGAGACAAGGTCTTGCTATGTTGCCCATGCTGGTCTCGAACTCCTGGCCTCAAGCAATCCTCCTGCCTTGGCCTCCCAAAGTGCTGGGATTACAGGCCTGAGCCACTGCACCTGGCTGGCACCAAATTCTTAGCATTAATGAGCCCCCTCCCTGTTTGTCCTGGAGTTAAAGGTCCTACTACCAACTACCATAGTTAAGATACCAGTCCAAGGAGGGAGTGGTGGACATTTGAGTGTGTGCACGCCAGGGAGAAGAGGAGCAAAGGATGAAGGAGAGTAGACCCAAGGGAAGTGGAACCAGAAGAGCTACGTCTGCAGCAGGTGAGGACAGAGCTGGAGCAAGGAGGGATCCCAACTGCATCGATGCTGCTCACGGACCAAGGAGGATGGCGTCTGAGATCGGCCACTGGCTTCACCAGGTGGAGGGACCGTGACAACAGCACGGTAGAGGAGGGGTGAGGATGAAGGATAGATTAGGGCCAGTTCCAAGAGGATGGGAGGAGAGGAATTGTTCAGAGCACAGGCAAGTCTTCAAAAGGAGACGGGTGCCGCTGGAGAGCAGCGGGCATCAGAGGGAGTTCTTAAGAGAGAAGAGAGAGCCACGCATCCTATCCTGCCGGAATCATTCCGCGCCGTGCAGAGTGGTGGCGCGGGAGGGAGGAGAACGGCACGGCGCCGTGGGGCAGGTGAAGGAGGGCTGAGGAGGCAGAGATGGGTCACCTGGGAACAGCAGGCACGCGAGACACGGGGGGTGGGGGGTGCCAGCGGAGCTTCTGGAAGTCTGCTTCTGGCTTACTTGCGTTTTCTTGGTGAAAGGAGACTCAAGGTGACCAGCTGAGCGAGAGCCGAGGGGACAGGCGTGGAAACAGCGGGAGTGGGAGGAGGACAGAAAATGGCCATTGCGCGGAGCGGGAGAGCAGGGGGACGAGGAGCCCTCTGTGATTAAAGGAAAGAAACTGCACACACACCGCGACGACGCTCCCACGGTGCACCCGGCATGCCCGGGGGCTCAGGTGCGTCGCGAGGAAGGGCTCCTGCAGCTCCTGCCGGGAAACGCAGTGCTCCCTCGTTGTGTCAGAGACACACAAAGAACATCAGTTGGGGGAATAAAAACCTCTTTCACTTTATTTATCCTAAATTTATCGAGCATCTCAGAACATCCTGTGGTGCCTCGTGGGGCGCACTGCTGTCTACGCTGCTGTCTGCCTGGGCGCCCCCGGGGAGAAACCCTCTCAGTGGCGCCCAGTCAGTCCCCTCACCGCCCTCACTGCCCGAGGGACACCGTGTCCTGCTGCGGCTTTTCTTTCACCCGCCCGTCCTTCCTTGCTCCCCCTTCCATGCCAGGAGGCACGAAGGAGCAAGGCCGCACCTGCCTCCTTCACCGAGTGACCGGCCCTGGGAGCAGGGAGAGCAGCCCCTGGAGGCACCTGCTGAGGGGCGGATATGTCTCGGCCTCCTTCCTGCTGGGCAGCAGGGACTCGTGAGCTTTCCTGGCTCGTCCAGGCCTCCTCGGAAGGGGCAGCGGGAAGTGGGAAATGGAAGAAACCATGGTCGGCAGAGCCAACAGCCTTCCTGCCGCTTAAGACACTCGCTTCTCAGCACCAAGCAAATTCAAAGGTGCTCTTCGCACTTTGGCTCTGGAGACAGCAGTATCTCAGAGACGACGCCCAGCTGGCAGCGCGCCTGCGGGCAGACTCCCTCCCATCACAGGAGGCTGCTGGTGGAAGCTGCCAGGCGGCTCAGGACTGGGTGAACAGGGGTCACCAGTTAGGGCCCCTCCTCTGGGATACCTAGACAGAAGCCTTTGTGCAGAGTCAGGGAGTCGGAACGCTAAGCCCAGTACATGCCCTCGAGGAGAGTTTAATTTGTCCAAAAACATGAACCTTAGCATCCCCCCCACCCCCAAACCTCTGCCATTTCTGCCCATCAAGGCCGAAAAAGGAGCAGGGCACCTAATGATTTTATGTAACTCTAGTTTTCACTCCGCATGGCAGGGGGAGCAAAATTGAAAACACTTTGTGGCCCGCAGTCCAAACAAGGGGTCCGGATGGTGACAAGGGACAGGATCCAAAGAACCCCCCTCACCTGGGCTCGTCGGAGGCAGCAAAACCGGCTGCAGCCTGCTCAGCTCTTCGCGGGTGAGCCGGGCCACCCTCTCGGAGATGACCTGCTGGACGGTCCCGAGCTGGCGGAAGGTAGGGATGGCCACAGCGAAGTCTGGGATGAAGGAGATGGTCTGCATCTCCGCGATGTCAGCGTTCCCGATGCCAATGCCGATGGGCACGGCCCCGCCCCTCTTCACGACCACCGCGGGGCCCCTCACGTCGTCCGCAGACCGGTCAGCCGTGAGGACGATGAGCAGCTGGGGCACGCCCTCCGCTATCCTGCTCCCCGCAGAGCCGACCAGGATGTTCCTCAGGACAAAGTCCAGCGCGGCCCCGGTGTTGGGGGTCGGCCCTCCCAGCAGGGTCAGCCTGCGGATGGCGTTGACGACGCCCTGCTGGTCCATGTACGAGTTCAGGTAGAACTCGGGCCTGGTGCGGTCGCTGTACTGCACCAAGGCCACGCGCACCCGGTCCGGGCCCACGTCCAGGCTCTCCACCACTCTCTGGACAAACTCCTTCAGCAGGGGGAAGCCACTGCTGACACCGTCGGAGCCGTCAATCAGAAACACCACGTCCTTTTCACCTGAAACTGGGAGGGGGACAGCGCGATGACCCACACGCGACAGGAGAGCCGCATTTCTTATCAGTGTGGGGGGCTGCATGACAGCCCCCCAAGGACACCCACTTCCAAATCCCTGAACTGGAGAGAAGGGCTTTGTGGATGTGACAAAGCTGAGGACTTGGGGATCGTCCAGGTGGGCCCATGTCATCAACCAGCACGTCCTTCTCAGGGGGACGAGAGAGCCAGAGCTGGGGAGAGGAGCTGTCAGGATGCCGGCGAGGAGTAGGGAAGGTGCGCTGGGCATCAGGGATGGAGGGAGGGGCCGCGGGCCAAAGAATGCAGGCGCCTCTGGGGCCGGAAGGGCAGGGAAGGGGTGATCCCCTGGGGAAGGAACGAACGCCTCTGGCACCTGGACTTTAGCCGGTGAGACTGGTTTCCAATTTCCGGCCCCCAAAACTGTCAAATGATAACTTTTTCTTGTTTTTTGCCACTGAATTTGTGGTAATTTGTTACAGGAAACTAATACACCAATACATAGAGCCCTTTTATTTTAGAACTTCTCAGTGATTGAAAAGTACTGTCAGCTTTCAAAGGCGTACCGAAGAAAAACTGGGGTGGGAGGAGAGGCAAAGCCTGCGCAACCATTAGCATTTTGCAGAGGGGACATCTGGAGGGATTTGCTGCGAGTCACAAGTGGATCCGTGGAAGGAAACATGATCCGGATGTCCGAGTTACCACCCAAACCAACTGTGAAATGTCCCAGGCGTCAGTGTAGACGCTCCAGAGCCGCGGCTTTTAGGCAAAGGGAGTGTATGTGAAACTGATTACCCTGTTCACTGCGTTCGCATCACCGAATGACAAGTGGTCAAACACAAAGTCACAGTCGTGTAGACCAGCAGTCGGGAACCTCAACGCAGCGTTTATGAAGGGAACCCATCTGCCTCCTCTGAATCCTTTAATGTTTAATGAATGTAGTGAAGGAATTTTAACACGTGACACCCACTTAAAACGAAGGCGTTGGGGGACTAAGCAGACGAAGACAGCTGTAGCTCTAACGCAACCACGTCGTGTGGCTTTCATTACACACGCAGTCAAAACGGTGCTTTTTAAAAAGGATTTAACCACTGATTTCTAAATCTTTATAATGTACCTTATTATGAATATTTTAATGCTTTTAAAAATAATCACCCTGATTCTCCTGTTTTTCCCTAGAGAGCAACTAGAGAGTCAAAGCGAGGGAAGAAAACTCATACTCTATTGTTCTGCTGAAGCCACCTATTAATTTTCCATCCTCCCTGTAAACGCAAAGAGGGCTTCCACCTGAGGCACAGGAGCCAGCAGCCCACCCCACTCACGCACTGGAGAACTGGGCTGCAGAAGCAACCGGCATTTCCATGGCGTACCTGGCGCTGGCGCCCCGTTGTGCACCGATTTCAGGAGATTCACGAACTGCGGCTGAAGGTCTCCAATCTTGGGAAGCGACTCCGCAGCCAGGATGAAGGCCGGGGAAAGCGCTATCTGCTCCAGCTCCGCGGGGTCCGCGTTCCTGGCTTGGAAGATGAAAGGCACCACGCCGCTCTGCTTCAGGTTACTGGCTGGCTCCTCCACGCGGTCCGACGACTTTCCTGCCACCAGAAGCACCAGCAGCTGAAGCACTCCCTCCTCGATCCGGCTGCCGGCGGACTTCACAAAGATGTACCTCTGTGCATAGTCCAGGGCGTAGCCCAGGTTGAGGGCTTTGCCCGTCTTGATCTTCATCCTCTTCACGAGATTCAGGATCTCAGGCTTACTCTGGTGCTCATCGAAGCGCGACTCCACCCGGACGTCGTCGCTGTACTGAGCCACCGCAATGCGGGTCCCGTCGGGCTTCACGTCAAGCTCATCGATAATCTTGTAGAGAAAGTCTCGGACCACAGGGAACTGGCGCAGGAGGTTGGCCGAGCCATCAAAAAGGAACAGAATATCCCGCTTGCTCTCTGCAGTGAAAGTGGATGAGGACACAGTGAGAGATGGGAGCACGACAGACCCCAGACTGACTCCAGCCCAGCACCATCTGAAAGTGGGACTCACAGTCTCATCCGATGATCACTGTACCAGCAAGAGAGGAGAAAACCCACGCCACTTGTCATGAAATGTCCTATTTCAAAACAGTGCATATTTGCAAAAGCTTAGAACTACTCTGTGTGTATATCCAGGCTAGCATCACGCTTCTTCAGCAAAGCAAGTGAGCGAGAGTCCCCTCAGGCCCTGTGCTCACATCAGTGGCAGTTACTCCAGGAGAACAGATAGCTCTGTCAAACTGCTATAGAAAAAGCTATTGAAAATGTGGTTCTTACCATACTCCTGCTAAAAAACTAATCTCGGTCTCTGGGGACAAAGGCTGATATGGGTTAACAACCCAAGGATAACGAGGCTGTCACAAATCTGCTCTAATTGGATTATCTTTTCATGGAATTTGAGGTTATGGATCAAGACCCAAAATAGCGCCCTTCATTGCTGTATGGGTCAGTGCTCTCCAAACCGCTATAATTAGACAACAGAAAACACGGATGGCAGCCTGAATGGGGCTACATCATGTAATATAAATATTACTTTCAGTTCAGACAGTTCTTAGAACTGTTTTGATTAGGTTTCAGTCGGTTTAGTCTTGCCACCATCTATGTGATGTTGCAAGCTGGTAGATCTAATACACCCACCTCTCACCACCATAATAATTTGCAAGAATAATCGTAACCAAGACTTGTTTTGGAACCCATTTCACCATCAATTAAGACGCAGCCTCTGGACTGGCACTGCAGAATCATCATAGGAATTAGGGAGGAAGAAAGCTTCTAAATAAAGGGTGAGACAAATGGACAAAACATAAGCTGAATGTTCTAGACTTTGATCAATGAGCACCCTTTAGACAGAGAGCCTGCCCTTGCTGGTACAGTGTCTCAGGCCCCATTCATCATATTTCAATGACAGTGAGCCAATTTGTCATTCTACAGTGCGTGACATTCTCGAGTTCCCACTGGCCAACTACCCGCCAGGGAGGCGTGTGCAGAAGGAAAGGGAGCGAGCCCCGCGCAGTAGGGGAGGTTTACCTGGCTGGGCGAGTGGAACTTCCTCCACACCTCCACTAACATATGTGGTTAGGGGCTGAATCAGCTGCTGAGGCAGAGCCGGCAGGGAGCTGAAATCGTCCATGAGATACACCAGGCTCGGGTTAAAAGCAATCTGCTCCAGCTCTGCCCTATTCGCCTGGCTAGCTCCCACGCAAAAGGTCAGCACGCCTGCGCGCGCCAGGGCGTTGGCAGCTTGCAAATAGGAGTCCTCGGACTGCCCGGCTGTGAGCAGCAGCAGCAGCTGCGGCACGTGTTCACGGATCCTGCTGCCGCCAGCTTCGGAGAAGTGGTTGGCATGGACATAGCTCAGGGCCGAGCCAGTGTTCAGGCCCGAACCCCCCTGGAGCTGCAACTGCCTCAGGTGAGCAAGCAAATCTGATTTGGTCTGGTATGTGTTTAGAGAGAACTCCGTCACCGGAGTGTCACTAAATTGCACTAAACCAACACGAATGTTGTCATTTCCAACATCGAGGCTGTTAACTAGGTTCATTACAAAGTCACGCACATAAGGGAAATTGGTTTTTCCAACGTTGACTGATCCATCCAAAAGAAAGATGATATCCCTTTTGTTTACGTGAACTGCAGTGAAGCACAGAAAACAAAGTGAGACATACACAACCGAGGAGGGCTTTATCATGTGTGCCCACGACAGGCGCACACATGCCAACATTCAGGACAAAGACAAAGTCAGCGTGGCAAAGCATTTCCATCTCACAAAATATGGCAGATGGCTGCATATTTTTTCCCCCGGCGGTGGCTGGTGCTTGTGAGGCATATTCATAGCCAAGTTTACAAAACCAGGTTGGCTCACAGAGAGATAGAGCACCAAAGCTAGAATGTTTGCAACCAACAAAAATTATCAGAATCCTTGAAATAGAACATTCCTTCCCTGGAAATGAGTTCTACGTGGCTGCTCTGCCTTCCTGCACCACCCATCTTTGTGACCAGAGTCACAGCCAACTTAACATGTGCACAGCTGTCTTCTGAGGCTCACCCCTCTACACTAACCGGAGGCTTTCCATCCACTGCTCAGAAGCAGTTAGCCCACGTTAACCTGAGAACCTGAGGTCCTTAAGGCTACAAAAAAATAACACAGTAGACTGTTCTTCTTTTGAAGTCATCCTCAGATTGCCCATTCATCATTCTCTACTGGTACTGTTCTCCTCTCAGGGTGCCACGCCTCACCGGGCAAGCATCCAATGGGGTGCCCGGGGGGTTCCCCCAAAGGAAGATGACGGGATCTTGAGTACTCAGTGAAATACAGACTATTTGCTAGGCTTGGCCAAAGTCATACGGATGAAGAATAAAAAGTATAATTTTCAAATTAGAGTATTTTCCCCAACACATTTAGCATGTGCCTTTAATAATTTATTTCTCATTTCTCCCTGACGCCTTGCTGTAATTTAGACCTCACAACTCATTTTATCTTATGTTTATCAAGTTGAACTTTGGCTATAAAAGTGTGGATTAAAAGTTTGTTGAAAATTTTAAAAAGAGAGAGAGAGGTTTTTAGAAGACCAGAGAGTGTGACGAGAGCAAATATCCAGGCAACACAGGACAAGCATGAGCTACGGTGGCCAGGTGTGCACGGCGGGAAAGCTGGATTCGTGATATGCATCTTCTCTTCATTGAGGATGGCGGATTGTATTTACTCAGTTCATAAGCTCATAGACCTTTATAATGTCTTGAAAAATAGCTTTTCCCTGACAACAATCATATTAAATGAGGGATTTTAAGAACCACTGGGTTTGGTCTCTGCACCCAGCCATTCAATGTACTTTCCCATCAAGGGGAATCCCTTAAAGAAAGAGGAGATGGGGGTTAAAAGCAGGGAGACTGTGCCCTGATGGGCAGCTGGGACTGGTATGTGGATTGTCAGCTTGGCACAGGAAGGAGCCAGGGCACCTCGGTGGTGAGGAGGCGGCTGGATCACCAGTAGGAACAGAGGAGGACAGGGACCTGGCAGGGAACAGGAACTGAGATGTGACCGTCTCGGCCAGAGGCTTCAAAGACAGCTGCCCACACGGTCCTCTAGTTTAAGGTATGCAATTGCTATCACATGAAATTTTATCATATGACATTTTGAACCGTACGATTCTCAACCCAGGGCAAAAGGAAACCTGAAATAAATCTCGTTTGTTGCTGTTGTTTCATCATTTAACAATGGTCTCTTAGCTAAACACAAATTACATTTCATTTTGTGCTTTTCTCCAAGGTCTTCCCTGGAGACTCCCCAGTATGTGTCTGAAGCCATTGCCACCATACCTTCAGTGGTTCCAGAGAGGGTCCTGAGAGGCGCCAGCAGGCCGGGCAGAACGCCTTGCAGTGGGGCGGCTCGGAACTCCGCGGGAGCGAACACCAGGGAGGAATCAAAAGCAATCTCGTCCAGCTCAGCCCGGTCGGCAGCCTTGCTCCCCACGGCAAAGGACATGATGTTGCTCTTCTTCAGCTCCTGGGCAGGCTGGCTGACCTCATCTAGGGACTTACCGCCCGTGAGCAGCACCAAGAGCTTGGGGACCCCCTCGGCAGCCCGGTAGCCAGCAGAGTCCGTGAACAGGTTGTTGCGCACGAAGTTCAGAGCGGCGCCCGTGTGCAGGGCCGCGCCATCCAGGGGCTTCATTGCCCGCACAGCGGCTATGACTTCCCTCTTGTTGGGGTAGCTGTTGAAATAGAACTCGGGCCTCACAGTGTCTGCATACTGCGCCACTGCCACTTGGATAAGATCCTGTCCGATCTCCAGCCTCTGGATGACTTTGGCAACGAAGTCTCGGATGGCATTGAAGCTGGCCGGTCCAAGAGCAGATGTGCCATCCACCAGGAAGACTATGTCTCTCTTGTTCACTTCAATAACTGTAGGTAGCGACATGATAAGGTGAGAAGAGTGCCCTCACCGCCCTCGTTCAGCAATGACTCCTACAAAGCCAGCGCTGTTTAAAGGATGCTCTCGTTTGCTCGGGCCAATGAGACATCAGGGGCACCCCAAGAGGAATCTGCCTACTCTTCGAACTTTTTACAAAATAGCTACACAAAACCCAATTTAGGTTTAGTAGCCACCCATTTAGCATGCTGTCACCAAAACCTCAGTAAGTTCTTTCCTGCCATAAATATCGAACTTGGCCAGAATGAAGCCATCACTCGAGTAAGTAAAGAATCCACAGTATCAGCTTAGCGAGCCCTTCCCTTCACAGTCTTGATTTCAACAACAGGCATCGCCAAGTGCATCCCCGTTCTCTTCGGTTCTATCTTCATTTTTCAGGCAAAAATAAACTACTTAACATAAAACTTATGAAGAGAAAATCAGCATCAAAGCCAGCAAGTGCCACAAACTTTCTTCACGTAAGAGATCTGTGCTATAAAGTCCTAAGTAACTTGTGGAGACTGTTATAACTTAACCACAAACCACAGAGCAAAAACGCCTCCCCAAGACCACTGTCTTGTAGTGACTATGAAACACTGCTGGACCGATGGGCAGGCAGCCCCACCCACGTCTTGAGAGCAGAGAGCCCCATCAGACCACGGTGCCTCATCCGGAAACCTGCCGGAGCGCCAAGGCTGATAAGAACATAAATGATCAGCCTGAGAGAGCACTGTTTGCAAAGGAGTCTTCTGTTACTCTGTGCCGTTGGAAAGAGTGGCACGTTGGTTTTGTAACACCGGACACAGGAAAGAGGCTTGGAATAAAAGGTAAGGAAGAGCTTTCCAGGAATTGGAGCTCCTTCCTATAACAAATCTTTAAGATATAGCTTATTCCTAGTTGTCTGGACAGGAGGCTGGGAGTATGATGCCTGCTGTCAGAATCACTGACACGTGCTTTAAAAAGTCATTTTAGGACAGCGACACCTCATTTATATACCTGCAGCACCAAGAGGAGGTCTGCGTTCTAGCAGAAAGATGACACTTTGTGCACTAATGTCTTTGATACAAATCCGCAGTTTCCTACTGGCCTCACAGCATATGCAGAGCAACTTTTTACCTTTTCTCGATATGTCATGGTCATTGTTGTGAACATCCTTTCTGGGATTTCCTTCCCTCCTCTGATTTAGAACTTGTGTCTTTCTGGGCTACCCCTTTGATTTTGGTTTAAAATCTCTTGGCAGATAAACCTGACTGTGTAGGTGTCTAGCGGGTTTCTCACACCCTCGCACCGTTAGAGAGAACACACCCACGCGCACACACGCATTCTATACACACTGGCTATGCCATGCATCCACCCTGCTCCTTGCCCCCACACCACGTGGCCCGGACGGTTATGTCATTCCTCATGAGCCCTGGCAGTGGCACAGCACGTGGAACAGGAGGAGGTCAATGTCACACTTAGCCCTCCCAAATTGTAGCATCTCCTGCCACTATAAATTCAGCCAGTGGGCCAGAGGGCAGGACTGACGTCCAGATCCGGTGGAACACGGAATCGGCTCTGGGAAACTCAGCGGTTCCATGCCATGGACCCCTTTGACTAGGTAAGAGGTCACTTACGTTTGATGTTTGTCTAAAGTCCTGGGAACTCCTAACAGGTAATACACCTAGAACCACACTGAGCCAAATAAAGCAAGCACTGAAAAGATCGAATGGCCCAAATAATAATTAAATTCCCGCATGTACTTCATGGTTCTGGCGCTCGTCGCCTGACCTTTGCAGAGCCGTGCAATTTCTCGGGGTTTCTGTTTCCTCATCTGTAAGATGCGGGGGCTGCACCACAGAATTCCTCAAATCCAGTTATAAAAACCTCGTGACTCTCACAGCTGCCTCTTGTGGGAGCCTCGTCATGGGCGCGTCAGTGTTTCCTCCGCCGGGCGTGAAACGCCAGCCCAAACAGAGCCGCCTCTTCCCTTCCACGTGGTCCTGCTGGCCCCAGTGCATGGCCTGGTTGGGAGGTGACCTGAAAGGTCCTACTGCTCAGTGGCCATGCTACACGACCCTCTTCGGCCCCCGCCCCCGTGACTGACAGCGGCACTTCCCGCCGCCGTTCCCTGGCAGCCCTCGCCAGCCCAGGAGTCGGGGTGAGCGTCTCCTCACTTCAACCTACTATTTCCAGATAAATTCTCCTCAAACACGCAAATCCCCGTCCCCCTTCCTCGGAGCTGTCCTCCTGACCTCTCTCCTGTCACCACTCCCAGTGACTTGGAGACAAGCGAGGTCTCCTGAACTCCCTCCTCCAACAGAATGCGTCCTTCTGTCCACCCCGGCACCTGCTCTGCAGCCACACCCGGCCTCGTGGTCACCACAGACCATGCCCTCAGACGGCCTCCTCCCTTCCAGCCACACCCAGGTCCCCACCTACCGGCCCTGCCCCTTCCTCACGCTCGGTCGAGCCCCGTCCGGCTCCCTTCCCCAGGGCCGCGGCCCATCCTACGGCCTCTCTGATCTGGAGCCCCCAGCGCCCTCGCCCCTGGCCTCCCTGAGACTCTCCTGACAAAGCCTCCGTCTGCTCCTCTCTCTTCTCACGCGTCACTCACACAAATGGATGTTCGCTGAGAAAACCACAGACCGGGACGTCTGCACGCCGCGCTGGGAACCCCCAGCCAGCCTGCCCCTGCGATGCTTCCCTAGGAAGTTTGCTTCCCATCCCCCAGAACAACTGTCCCTTAACTCTGCTCTCTGCCCATCCTCTCCTCTGCCACGCCAGGGCTCGCCTGCTACGTCTTGGAGAAAATAGAATCCTTCGGAGGAGAACCCTCACTCCGACCACCCAAACCACCACGTGCCCGCACCTGCCACCTGCCCAGCTCACCTGTCTTCTCCCAGCCTGCCGTCCCTTCTCCCCTGTCCCCCGCCATCGCTGATCTGCCAGAGGCACCCGAGGCTCCATGTTGACCATCCTACAGCTACCCCTGGCCTTCCCCCTCCTCGGCTTCTCAGCAGTCCGGTCCCAGACGCCCTCTCTTGACTCCCGTTCCTCCCCACACTCTCACGTCGTCCCACATCCCCGATGGCTCCTCCTCCGACTCCTGCCAGAGGCTGCTCCTCTCCTCACCCCGCTGGCCCCCAGGCCGTCCCTTCTCCAGCCGCCTGCCTCCCGCATGCATCGCTCTCAGACCTCTCCTTGGAACGCAGACGTGTTGGCCTCCGAATGCCACACGCGCCCCTCAAACTTAACACACCCGCAGTAAAGCTGCTGACTCCCGCCCCTGCACCAGCCGCCTCTCCCGGCTCCCCCAGCCCCATGCGTGCTCCCGCCTCTGCCATTTGTGGTTCTGGGAAAGGGCCAAACACCTCCAGGTTGCAGGGCCGCCCTCCTGCTGTTCCGTCTGCCTGGAATGCTCTTCCCTGCTGTTAATGGGCTCCTCCTGTCTCCACCGCTGCTCAAGCAGGCCTTCCCTGGCCACTCCACCTAAAGTTCACTTCCACCTTCTTTTTCTTTTTTCTCCTTTTTTATTTGAGTGGGCTCTCGCTTTGTCACCCAGGCTGGAGTGCAGTGACGCCATCATAGGTCGCTGCAGCCTCCAACTCCTGGGCTCAAGGGACCCCCTCCCCCACCTTTCTTGGTCTCTTAAGTAGCTGGGACTACAGGCACCCACCCCCACACCCGGCCCCCCCATTCACTCTATCACAGCCTGCTTTAGTGCCCTCATGTAGCACTTTGGGACCATCCTGTCTGTCATGAGTTTGCATTTTTATTATCTCTCCCACTACCCCGTAGCAGACCCGAAGCCACGCCTGGCCTGCTTGCCAGCACTGTGTCTCCAGCGCTTGGCACAGTGTCCGGCACATACCAGATAGTCGAGAATTTTTGTTGAAAACAAGTTCACCACAAATATTAAAGATTATTTTTGTAATCAAGGAGTTAAAACTCTAGTTAGCTAGGGAAAATCTGAAATGAGGGCAACGTGCTGCCCATTTTAATTAAAAAGTTGAAACTCCTCCTGGAACAGATGTATCTTCATCTAGCACAACTCCTTTGCCATAAATTCCAGAAATCAGAGCCCAGAGAGGTTGCATGACCTGCCTGGCATCACACAGCGGGTCCACATAAGATCTGGGATAGGAGACCAGGTTTCCCGTCTGCAGCTGTGGTGTTTATAAAACACAGGAAATACTTTGCTTCCACAAGTATGCAAGCCCTGGGAAGCCTCCGTAGGTTGCAAACTTTCACTTGATTGTTTCCTTAATTGCCAGGGTCACAACCAGCCCCATGACGGACATGAGCATTCGCAGCTCTGGGCACCGCATTCCCCTGTTCACTGTCCACTTCCGCTCAGAACATTCCGCTCGAAGGTCCGACCTCCCTATTAGCTCACCGGAAAGACTTTGGTCTGTTCTCTGGTCCCGCCAAGCGAGAGGGAAAGCTGGAAAACTCTATGAGGAGAAACACAAGCCCAGCTGGATCTGCCTCTCTGACCTCGGTAAATGCTAGAAAAAGTGTTCTCTAGAAAGTAACACTCTTCTCACTATGTCACCAGGTCACCCTTCCAATGTCCAAATTAAGTAAAGATGTCACAGTCCTGAGCTTTCCGCCTACAATTTTCATTACAACAAAAGCCCTGTTTTAAAATCATTTGGAGCAAGTTTGAGCTACTTTGGTTTGAATGTCGTAAGCCTCGTAAGGAAACGTGGTGCTGTTACCTTTACACGTATGTAGCACCTGGAACAAATGACCAGCAAAGTGCTATGAGGTAGAGATCAGTTCCGCACATCAGTAGATATCAGTGTTTTTAATTAAGAATTTAAAATACTCTGCTCTTAATTTCATACAATGGCATATTACCCAAAAAGGTCTATTTGTCAATTATGGTCACCCCTTTCTCAACCTACCTGGAGCCCCAGCTGGTACAATGAGTAAAGCAGTATTTTATAACAATATTTATTTTATGGACCCAGACATGCAGCCTTTCCTTATGAAGTCAGCAAATAAGAGCTGTGAAGACATGTTATTTCACACAAGGAAATGTAAATGACTGGTTGCAGGTGATACCCAGGGTCTACGTGGGCCTCACTCCCACTGAGCTCATATGCTGGAGGACAGTGAAGAGCAAGGTCTTACATTCAGGGACTAATCTTCTCAGAGCATCCCAGGGCGTACACAACACCAGGAAGTGAATTGGGTGCTTCTGGAAAATGTTGGGGGCCCTAGTGTCCCTAATTTACTGAGTGACATCCTATTGGCTTGACCTAGGTCTTGAAACTGATGCAGTCGGAAAGTGGCTGATGTCTCAGAAAACAGCTCATCAGCTGGAGGAACCCGCCGTTTGAACGCCTACCGTGTCTCTTAAGTACATGTTTGTTACGTGACTTGGCTGGTTGTTTTATGTTTTTTAAATTATTCCAATTGGCTATTTACTAAAGGCCTTCCATTGGAGTATATATCATAATCTTACCACTCAGAAGAATTGCTCCTAAACTTGACAAACATGGGGAAAAAATTTTTACAAATACTCCATCAAGTGGGCTCCCCGTTATTTCTTACCTTCAGAAATGTAGCTCTCAGCACCCCGGCACGAGAGGACTTTGAGGAGACACCCTCATTCCTCCACTGCTTTTTGGAAAGTACACATCTAACATGCTGACTTTTAGAGATCAGTGCATTGTCCTGGGGTAGTTTTCTCAGAATTGCAATGAGCCCCTCAAATCCATCTTTAAGACGACTGGATTATAAATAACAGGGATGTTGAATAATCTCAGAGTAATAGGTTTGTTGAGTTAGCTTTAAAAGCACACTTTCTCAACAGCTCATACTTCTACCAGAGCTTTCCATCCACCCACTGATCTTCAGTTTTTCCAAACACTGCAGCAACTGGAATATCACACGCGGGAGCTAGCTTCCGGGGAAGGACTGGGCTGCGGGTACTTACAGGTTCTCCCGAGGCGGGTCACTCTGGTGCCCACCTCACTTCTACGAAAACCAAGACACAAACACCCCAGTCCCACACCCATGGCAAGAAAAGCATACATACCTTGTGTGACAATGGTTGGCGGTTGCAAGACAATGTGCCTTTGGGCCACGCCAACAATGAACGGCAGTAATTGCTCCTGGAGGTCCCCAAAGCTACGGAATTCCGGGACAGTAAACACCAAGTTGTCATCGGTAGCTATGTGCCGAAGCTCTGCCCTGGAGGCGGCCTGGGCTCCGAGGCCGAATGAGAACACGCTAGCCTGCTTCAGCGCTACCACCCCGTCACGAATCTCGTCACTAGAAGGCCCGGCACTTATGAGGACCAGCACCTGGGGAACCCCTTCCTCTGCTCGGCTGCCCCCTGCCCGGGTGAAGTGGTTCTCCACCACGAAATCAAGGGCCAGGCCGATGTTGGCCAACTCCCCGCCAGCAAACCCGAGGGCCTTCACTGCATCTAGAACCTGCGCCTTGGTGGAGTAGGTGTCCAGGGAGAACACGGTTCTGGGCGCATCGCTATACTGGACCACCCCCACACGGATCTGCTGCGCTCCGACTGACAGTCTCTCAAGGAGATTTACAAGGAAGTCGCGAATGACTGCGAAATTGACACTTCCGGTGTTGTTTGATCCGTCAATAAGGAAAATAATGTCAGCAGAGTCTTGTGCTTTAAAAGAAAGAAATGCAAAAAACGTGAAAGCATTAGAACAAGTGACCACATGCATTATTCAGTGTTCTGACATGTTTCTTTGGAAACCAATAAGAAACACGAAATATGGACAAATGAAACACATGTCGATTAAGGAAGGTGAAATTCTCTTTTAGTTCTGCATTCTGAATGGATAAGAGGCAACTTCTTAGAAATTACGGTGCAACGTAGCAGCATTTACAGCAATTTTTCATTTGCGCCATTTTTGTAGTTAAATTTCAAAATATCAAGTTCACTTTTCTGAGGAAGAAATCTTGGGTACATATGGAAGAAATTTCTACTAAATTTGGAGCGAAATATAGTTGGAGAATATAATGAGTCAAGTAACAAAAATTCAAAGGTGATTTCTAATTTTTGGTCATTTCTCCTGCCTCCAGGAACGATTGTGAGAATTTTTTTATACAAAGCCACAGCTACAAACAGAATCTCAGATTCACACTTTGGGGACTCATCATCCCAGTATGTCACTTGATTCCTAGAGCTGCCGTCATTTCTTCTTTTTTTCTTTGAAAACCAAAATGGCCAACTATATGCAACTTTGTGAATCAAACTCAAACTACATTTAAAGGTTTCATTTTTAAAATATTTTGATGAATTTTTGTTTGATTTTCTTTCCTTGCGTGATGTTTTGTTGTATGAAACACAAATGCAGGCCTGGGATGGGGCTACGCGCTTTGTTCGTGTATTTTTGCCATTGCCTCTCTATCCAATCACGTAATGCAGAACAACGTTAAACAGGGTGATATGAAACCAGTCATGACATAATTATCCAACCTTATTTTTATGACACCCTAAGAGCTAATTACCTAGCAGGACCATGAACATCTAAGAAGCCCCTACTCAGAATTAGCTCTGGAGTTTTATACTAAGGACATAAAAACAGCTAATGGTAAACCGGAAGCTTCCATTTCATTACTGAGAACGGCAATTACGCGAAGCCCAGAGCAAGGAGTGCCGATCAGTAAGTCATCACACCAGGGCAGGGAATTTCGGAGGCTCAGTTAAAATGTTTAAATTATACTGATTTAAACTAGAGGAAAAGCAAAATTACCCTGGTAAATGTTTTTAACAACTTAAGGATGTATTCAGAATAGGAAGAATTGTTACCTGAGCGTATATATTTATCTGGGATTCCACAAAAGCTACACTTGGGGTATAACTGTAATATTATATGTAAGACCATTCATTCGGATCTTTTTAATGACAGTGAGAATTTTGTATTTAAAATTAATTTTCCTTGTGCCAGAAAAATTGTTTTTATTCTCACTGTGGAAAAGGCTACGAAGCTTGTCTCATAAAATTGAAGAGTTCTGCGTGAGTGGAATTACATTCTTACCAAAGCGCTCTCATTGTGCAATCCCAAAGGTCGCTGGAGTTGGAACTGCGCTCTTTTCTCCCTCATGTACACAAAAGTCCCTGACAACATCTTTGCAGACGGATTCTTTGCATAGGGAAATACATTAACTGGGAAATATTGCTATCACAATCCTTCTTAGAAGATATAATGAGGAGTATAATTATTTCCTGCAGTAATTAAGATCTTGTGTTTTAAATAATTGTCACACAGAGTATCAGATAAGACTGGGCCTTTGCTTAGAACTCCAAAGCATTTGCCACTGTTTGGCCAAAACTTAAGCGTCCTGGAGGATCCTTGGGAGGGCGTGGTGCCAGGGAGTGTGGGTTACCAGCAGGCCACAGAAGTGGCCCACGTCATCGTATAAGCAGAAGCTCTGCAAATCACACCACAGAATTCCTCAACGCTTCCCAGGCCTAAACCAGTGACCCTGAGGGACACGAGAGGAGGTGCCACTTACTCAGCATATCGGGACATTTAAAAGAAGGATTACCTATGGTCAATTAAAAAAAATGATTCCTAAGTCAAGTCGCAGGATAACACTATTTCTTCTTCATTTATTACTTACTTTTCGGTTGAAATTTGTACTAGTGTAAATAAGATAAATGAGCCGTAAAGTGAGGTCCTTGAACGCTTCTAAAAGACTGACTGTCTACAGCAGTGGGTCATAGAAAAATGTTGGATAATTTGTCATCACTGAGTCAAAAACATTCCCATCTTACACACACACTCGCGGGACACAGGGGAGCATGCCGTGTTATCCAGGAGAGCCAAGCCTCGAAGGGGCACGGGAGCCACGAGCTCTTGCGCACAGCACGGCGTGCCAACCCCCCATATCGCGCTAGCACCGTCAGATCTAGCCAACACCCAGCAGTGTTTGCAGTTGTCTGGTTTTCTGCATCTGTGGCTCATGTACCACATCCTCTGTGGCATTTCCTATGGAAAGGTTTCTCAGTGTCCAAGGAAAAATCACAGGTTCCCTCGACAGCACTGGAAATGCTGTCTTCTTGAGCACACTGGCATGGGCATAGTGCCCTTCTTAGCTCGCATGATGCTTCCTTTTGTTAAGGAAAAAAAAGTTCAAATTTTTGTGTCCTAGGCAAAACACGAAATAGTAGATATGCTGCACAAAATTTTCAAATCTTCATATATTGCGGAAAACAAGAAAAGGAACCTCATGCTGAAAACTTCACCATCGTCTTGAGCTTTTGCGTCAGAACAAAGGTTTTGTATCTTAGTTATATCCGTTTTTAAAAGGAAGACAAAGGGATTTTTAAAAACGCAACTATTTGAGATTGATCGCAGATTGAGCAGCGTTCATTAGAACAGTGGCGATCATTTATTCCTACATATGTTTTACAATCAAGAATAGTCTGCGGGGAAAAGTTACCTAGTAACCCACGTCATGAGAAGGAAAGGCCCTAACTCGTTAGCAATCTCTATAATGCCCTTCTAGCTGCCTTTTCAAAAAAACTACAAGCAGAGACTTACTATTATTATTATTATTATTATTTTATTTTTGTGCTGTGGAACATGCAGCAGGACATGGTACTAGAGGAATTACAGAGTGACGTTAATTAGAAAAGAAAACATGAATGGATTAATAGTCCACCCTGGTGCTGCTAGTGGCTTGGACACTAGAAGACAGAGATGCTTTCTTGGCATAAAAACAAAGGTTTTGTCATCCGCGTGGAAATATACTATGTCGATGGGCTCGTTTGGCATTCACTATGGCAATCTCATTGTTTGTCCATTTATACAATGGTTAAACATAAAGGCAAATTCATCTGTTCTTTTTCATGAATTTGCCAAAACATCGACAAAAAGATGCCCCATGTCTCCACTGATCCCTCGCACTGTTTTTGAACATGTCTGTTACCATCCCTACATTCAAACCTGTGATGGACCGGGAATTATTGACACCGAGCCTATTGCGGTGACAGAGCAGGTCATTACAGATTCCCTCTTGTCCTTTTCTCGTACCTGGAGTGTTTGGTTGGGTGCTCCTAAGGCCACCCACCTTCTTGTCCTGTAATCTGGCAGTGTTGATGTCTATGTCCTGGTGCCGGAGACGAGGCACTTTCATTTGGAAGCAGGAAACAGTTCTCGGTGTCACAGGTAAATAACCCAGACTGCCTCTCCCTCCTTCCTACTGAGAAGCCGACCCACTGGCGAGGGCATCGCACTCCCACCCCCAGCTCCGCCGAAGTCACGGGCACCCACTGGGGAGTCTCCATGAGCAACTTCTCAAACACTCCGGGTAGGTTGGTTCCGAAACCCTTCTCTTAACCGAGCTCTGCCTGCCCAAGAGAGCTGGTTCCTTTCTGCTGAGGTCTAGTTGTCTCTCTGCCATCCCCTGCTTCCTGAGTCCCCGTTAGGAAAAACCGCCGTCCAGTATTGTTTCCCTGCAAGGCCCGTCATTCTGTGGCGTTCCAGGGGCTCTGCCTTCCCCGGCCGCCTGCTGCCCATCCTTAGCTTCCTGCCACGGGCCCTGGAGCTTGCTCGGCTCAGGCCTCAGGCCTCAGCTCTTCCTCCTCCCTCCTCCACCTCCAACACCGAATTAACAAGACTGACTTTCTGTCTGTCACCTGACGTCCCATCGCCACAGCCCTCTTGGTGACGACCATTTCTAAAAGCTTAGGGGACATGTGCCCGTAAACCTTGCTCCCTGTGATCACCCGCTCTGTCCAGGCAGCCGACCCAGGCCTGGCTGCCCATTCGTTCCTTTTTCATTCAAAGAATTATCCACTCCCTCACTGCGGCTGAGGACACTGACGAGGTCCTCCCACCTTCCTAAGTGATTTCGGTCACGTCCTCGCTGTGGTCAGCTCCGGAGACTTTACCGTCTACGCGGATATCCTCCTCAGCGTCTCATCCCAGTGGCCCCTCTGTCTGTAGCACCCACACACGTGAGGACCACGCTGTGAGCACCACCTGAAACCCCTCCAGCCCCACGGGCGCCCTCGGGGGTCTCCCCTGCACACACCGGCAGTGCCCCCAGCTCACAGCTCAGCTGCCTGCGGGGCTCACCCCACCCAGCCTGCCATCCTGGGCTCCTCAGAGTCTCCCAGCCCACCCAGCACCAGCTGATGCCCCCGCCAGGAGTCCATGGCGGGACATGTCAGGAATTACTAGCTACCACTCCAATTGCCTCCCCGGGAGAATGTTCTTTCCCCTCCGTCATTCCCTCTTTGCGAGATCCAGACCTGGAAACTCCTTGATCCCAGGAGTGCCCGAGACACCTGCAGAGAGGCAGGGGTCCCTGCTAATGCTGGTCATCTCTGACAGCTGGTCGTCACTGCGAGTCAGCAGCTACTACATCCTGAATGTTTTGTGACTCGCTCATCACATCCCTGTAGCCGCTGTTCAAAATAACCCCAGTCTCTCCAAGCTCCCAAACCCTACTGCTTCCCTGCGTTTACTGAGATGACTGGTATCAACTCAGCCTGCACTTTCTCAGCGTCCCTCTTATCCCCCTCAAATCTTAGAAACAGCCCCTTTCTTCTTCTTTCCCCCAGCTCAGAGGACGCATCTCCCCTTTCTGGAGCTCACCCCTCCCCCAGCTCCTCCCTGAGCCCTTGTCCTGCCCAGGACGCTCTGCTGACAGCTACCAAATGGCCCCATGGACTGGTTTTCTCACACAGGGTGGTCCCTCTGCCTGCCCATCGCTGATGAGAAAGCCTAGCTCTGGCTTTCATTGAAATTGCTGTGGAAAGATACTTTTTGAAATTTTACTTGTCAAATTCCTTCCGCATCGGTCTTTTAGGCGTTTAGCGCTGGAAGGAGAGCTGATGGGCCTGACTGGTTACCGTGCAGTAACATGCCAATGTCATGTCCACGCTTGCCCACGCTTCGGGAGCAGCAGTGATGGGGGCCACTAGGATCAGAAGGGCCTCTGTGGACACAGCCATGGACAGGCACAGAGATAAGCAAGAAGCCCAAAGTGCTGGCTCTGTCACCTGCCATCCAGGACTCAACTTCTTCAAAATAGATTTGGACTGGACCATAGCCAAGGATTCTTACAATTCTAATTCTGCCCATTCTCTGAAATAAATTCCATGGAGCAGAAGAGAGGTGCTCTCTGCTGTCCCACTGGACACAAAAGTGGACGCTCTCCATCCCCCTCAGCTCGTGCACTTTCTGACACGGAGCTTTCTTTGACGCTTCCGATGACAGATGGGAGGGGATTTGTTAGACACCCCCCTCCCCAGCCACTCTGAGGCTTTCTTTTCTGAGAAAGGCAGAGAGATCTCTTGTGGGATTGGGATATCAGAATGCGTTTTTTTTCAGAGTTAAAGTATGAGTTGTTTAATAAAAAAACTGCTCTTGGATGTAGGTGTAGCTGTAGGTATACGCCCTAGTTGAGAAGCAGACTGTAAAGAACAGTCGAATTCAAACCTTTGTTTTTAAACCCGTGAACATTCATCTCTTCCCTACCCGCCCGCACCTTGCAGCCGCAGTGTCGCTCTGAGGCCAGCGGTGGCCAAGCTCATCTGCAAAGAGCAGCAGGGCAGGGTGCAGCTTGGCGGTGTTGCCGTTACCTGTGAGGTCTTTAAGGGTTTCCGTGTCCCCAGCCCTCTGTGGACTCACGGATGACTGCACACAGGACACTAAGTTTCCTACTATGTCATGGAGTGAGGTAAAATTCTCTAGGTTGAAAACATGCATATTGAGCGGTTCACTTGCTATTTCTTTTAAGGCTCCTTCATCTGCATCCTCAACGCCAATTGCAAACACGTTAACGTCAGCAGACTTAAGTTCCGCTGAGTGCAGAGCAAGGCCTTCCTCCGAGTGTCCATCGGTTAACACTACGATAACCTGAGGGACGCCGTCACTGGCCCGGCTTCCAGCGGCCTTAGTGAGGTGGTTTTGTATTACGTATTCTAATCCTTTTCCGGTCTCATTGCTGCCCCCAGTATAGGACATGTTGGAGATATGGGAAAGGACTTCTTGCTTAGTGCCATACGTATTTAACAGGAACTCGGTATGTGGGTTTCCGTTGAACTGGACCAGAGCAAAATGGAAATCATTTTCTCCCACAGCTAAAGATTTTATAACATCATACAGAAACTCTCGAACGAGTTGGAAATGCTCCTTTCCAATGCTCCAAGAGGAATCCACTAGAAATATTATATCAGCAGCGGCACCATTTTTGACATCTTTAAAAAAAGACATTGGTTTAGATTTTTCTACTATTCAAACAATTACTTCCTATCAGTGAAAAACCTTCCTAAACAAATTCAGTTTACACTATGCTGTTACTAAACAGTTCACACCTCACTTGTCCTGCAGGAAGGTGGGCAGACTTACCTGAGAACCAGGGACCTGGGCCCATGGACTCCACAGCTGCTGGTCCCAGTCACTGGCCCAAATTCCATATTCAGTAACCACCAGGTATGGGCCAGCAGCACGCTCAAGAATGGGAAAACATTTTCCTGGGCTGTCTTTAACTCAAGCATGATTCCTCATGGCAGTTTGAGCCCCCAGACCCACCTGATCAGACCAGAATGATGTCCTATCACAGACAACCATTGTTTTGTGAATTCAGTCTTCCGTCTGAGGTATGAAACTGAGCTTTGGCAAGAAGGAAAAGTGAAAACTACTACTGTTTTATGTTAACTAACCCCAAATGTTCCGGGTAATTTGCAAGAAAAATAAATGAAATAAATAAATCTTATTTAAGTGAGGAAGATCTGTATGAATGCAGAGAAGGGAAAAGTCTCGTTTTTTCCCCAGCTTTTTGAGCATGAAGAAAGGTACTCTAAGTAGTTACTGTATGTTTTCAGAGCCAGAAAAGTTTTATAGAACCTGAACATTATCTGTCGTGTTCACGGATGAATCCAGTTCTCCCTCAAGTGTAGGCGCTCAGGGTGTCAGGCCAGCAGTGGCCCTCAGAGGTACCCTTCTGTAGCCGTGGGCCACTCTGGCTCTGGGACCCCACTTACCTCGGGCTGACCTGCTGCCCCAACCCATGTTCTTCTTCCACCTAGGTGGCACTAGCCTCTCCGCCACCTCAGAGCAGCTCGGCCTGGCGGGAGAATCCCGCAGAGGCCCAGCTCTCCGGGCAAAGGATGGGGAGACCCAAAGCCTTCCTTCCCAGATTGCAATGCATGAAGCATTTCTCACTTTTTTAAAACTCTGAAGGCAAATCCCTAATAGGGTTGATTAGAATCCATTTTTAAAAAGAGTTTTGGGAAACAGACTTTTTTTTTTAAGATCCAATGATGCTAGATGAAAAATGTCTTTCACTGTCCAGAGTTATAGAGAGTGGATGATATTTGTTTTTTTCAGGGAAAATGACTTTTACTCTCCATAGTTGTCTTCTCCCTATTTTATGTGCTCAGAAACCCACCAATGCCAGAAACATGGGAAAATCTCTTCAGATCCAAACTTTCTACTCACGCCCAAGGTAAAAACAAATCACTTTCAAACCAATTCCAAGATAGCAAACCAAAGCTTTAATAAAAATAAGTCATCTCTCACTGGGTAAAGAATGTCTTAAAAGGTCAATAAACTAAATGAATATCCTATAATAAATGGCTTAGTTATCTCTGAAAAACATCTCTAAGCTTTATGTCAAGCTCATGATGTCTAAGATCTAAAATCGCAGAATGCTATTCCTTTTTAAAAGTCAGGGATGTTTCTGGATCTTACCTGCTTGCTGTTGCTGGGCGTGAGTCATGGAGAAGCCTGAGAGAAAGAGGCAAACGACAGCCACTAAGGGCAAATGTCGGTGCCTCCTCATTTTGAGTTTGTCTGAGCACCAGATAGGAACCTAAAGAGAAAACAGAGCAAAGGGAATAGTCATTTTTTTACTCTGCAAAAGCACTCAAAATCCTGCATTTTCTATGTCCTTTCTGGACTTCCAAGGGGGCTTGTATCTGATCTGTTCTTCGGACCAGCAGCAAATGGATAGATGATAAACAAATGGGTAGGTAGATGATCGATTGATAGACAGGCAGACAAAACAGATATGCACACACACGTGCACATATATGCACACATGCGTAGATGACAGAGGGAGGGAGGAAGGAAGGAGGAAGAAAGGAAGGGGGAAAGAAGAGAGAGGAAGGGGAAAGGGCGGGAGGGAAGGGAATAAATGACACAGGGACAGAGGCAGACAGCGCTCTCTGTGTGAGGAGACCTCCAGCCTCCTACAGTGGGCAGGACACAGATCGCCCTGTGCCAGAGCCGCTCACTTTCCTGGCTGGACGTTCTCAATCCTAGTTCAAAGAACACAGTTACATTTTTTTAATGGACACTCGTAGTAGTATCTCCACAATCTGAAAATATTCTCTTTCTTTACTCACATTATGAACTATATGAACCAAGGTTTTATCCCTTATGAAAGGTAGTTGTGAATAAACATATAAATGAGGATCTTTGAGTCTAGTGACTATGACTTTGGCCACAACTAAAATCTGTGCAATTAAACCCTTTTCCTCCGAAAGGGAGGTAGGCGGCAATTTGGAGATAGTGTATTCCCAAGCAAATGCGGAATGGAAAAGGGTCGGGGTAAAGGCACTCACAGGCACAAAAAGAGGCAGGTTGTGACACGCAGCTGAAGTTTGCAAATCACGTTCAAAGGAATCTCAGAGGAAAGCTTCGGTTCGTGGACAGAATGGGCTTTGCCCGGATCACAGCACATGCAAACCCAGCCACAGCAGCCGGGTCTTTGCAAACCCTGCCCTAATTTCTATTAATATTCAGCACTTTTCCTGCAAGGAAACCTGCAGTATGCCGGCTTCCAATCTCACAACAGAACGAGCCCAGGGAGATTTAATTAGCAACACTGTGCAGCAGACCTCAGGGCTAAGTGCCCCACTGCAGAGTGTCTGACTCTCACGCAACCACCGGTGGCTGCGACGTGACTTCCCACCAGCCAAGTTCACGTTCACGTGGGCGCAGTAGCCTGTGTCATCAGAACTTCTCCCTGCCAACAACGCTTTCACTTCCTACCTCAAACCTTCATGTCAGCCTCTCCACGCTCCAACCCCCAATCCAGTGAGAGCAGCTTGGGGGCTGAAGTCTCCCTTAAGACCCCTCCAGAGATCTGGCCTAGGTCTTTCTGTCTAGGCTGAAGTCTCTTTTCTCCTCCCTTGGCCCGAGGTTCTGGTTTCCCTGACTTTTTCATAGGCTACAGCCAGGGCTGCAACAGGACTCCATGCTCACACAGGCCCCACACTTGGTTTGATGCTTTGCTGTTGCTGTCTTGGAATTCTGAATAACTTTTGGACAAGAGGCCCCTCATTCTCATTTGGTACTGGGGCCACAAATTATGTAGCTGGTCCTGCCTGCAGCTGTGCATGTCAGTGACTCTTCTTGCCCAGACTGTCAGGGGTTCCTGGTCTGGGATTCCCTTGTCAGAGGTTTGAGTAACAGTATCAGCATTGACAACACAAGTAGGCTAGGGTGTTATCAAACCACTGTTTTTGATGTCGTGTCAGCAAAAGTTATTCAGCATCTGCTATGGGTCAATTGCTGTTTTTCATAATTTTTCAAAATTTATCTCATTTATCTTTGCATTATCATGACTAATACATGCTGATCCTCATGCTTACAGTGAAGACATTGGGGCTCGGAGAATTAAGTGGCCCAAGTCACACAACTTTTAAGAGACCTTGGTGCTCAAATGGCACCTGCCACTATGAAGGTTAATAAGATGAGAAGACAAGAAGAAAAACTTTATTTCTCACCATGAAAGCTCCATGATTTATAACAATTTGTCTATGAGGTTCAATAGCCTGAAATTGGCCTTTCTAGGAACAAGAGAAGGAGCCAGTGATGCTGGGGAAAGACAGGTGCTTGGAGTCAGGTACACCTGGACACCCGACAGCAGGCAGGTCATCTGATTGCTCAAAGCCTCAGTTTCCTCTTCTATAACATGTGAATATAATAATAATAATAATACCTCTCTTGCCAGCCTTCTGTGAGTATTACATGGCAGACTACTTGTTAAATGCCTGGTGGAGCATGGGTAGTAGTGAATTCTAATTACCATTCATTTCCCAAAATATATTCCATGGAACACTCACTCCATGACATATTCTAAGGGAAAAAAGCAAGTCATACCACGAGCAACACAGATTGGGAAGCACTGAATAGCACGCCTCCTTCGGAAACAGTTAACAATACACATTAAATACAGCAGCTCTGAAAAGTAAAGAATAAAGAAACCTGTTGCACCTTATTTAACCTAGAATTCCTCAAACATGTATTTCACAACATGTTTTTTCAATAACAGCTATTCATAGCCCATGAAAAAAGCTACACACTTTGGGAGAGGGAGGCTATTCATTTTTGTGTCTAATTTTGCTAAATTCTTGCTCCTCAAAAGCACCAACCAAAGACATCTCCACCTGCCCAGGTCTCCCCTGCACACAGATCACTGGTTTTGCAGATGTCTGCCCTCTTGGACTCCACTAACGGCAAGTTGGGAACCATTTCCCTTGATGTTGGAGCTCATCACCTGCCAGTGACCAGGTGAGAGGGCTGATGTGCAGATGACTAAAGTTTCTCCAGAGAGGCCCAGGGGAGGGACCAGAGCCAGTCTCATTATCAACATGAACATTCATGGCATTACTTAATACTGTGAATTATTGTTTTCTTGTACTGAGTTTCAGGAAGAACTATTTGACATTGGAAATGATATAGTATAGACTACGGTTAAGTGGAGAACTCCATTTGGTTTAGGAAACTCAAGTACATTTAATCTAGGGAGACTGAGTTACCATCATAACATCACTGTTAGGGATTGAAGGTTAAAAAGTCCACTTAGTGGATTAAAACATGTAAAGGCATTCAGTATCAGTGTCAATGACAATAAAAAACAATTTTCTCTCTGGTTTTCAAGTATATGCCAGATATTCAAATGAATATGAAGATGTAAAAAATCTGAACAGACATATAATTAGTATGGAGTTTGAATCAGTAATTGAAACTTTCCAACAAAGAAAAGCCCAGGTCCAGATGTCTTTACTGGAAAATTCTGCCAAACATTTAAAAAGAATTAGCACCAATCCTTCTCAAACTCTTCCCCAAAAAATTAAAGAGGAGGAAACAATTCCAAACTTACTTTATGAGGCTAGCATTACCCTGAAACCAAAATCAGAGAAAGATATTAGAAAAAAGAAAAATACAGACCATTATCCCTAATAAAAATTGATGCAAAATTCTTACCAAAATACTAGCTAGCCAAATTCAACAACATGTTATAAAATTTATACACCATAACCAAGTGGGATTTATTTCTAGAATGCAAGGATGGTCCAACATATGAAAACCAATCGGTGTGAATGAAGGGGGAAAAACACATGATCATCTCAATTAATGCAGAAAAAGCACTCAACAAAATTCAACACTCTTTCATAATTAAAAAGAATACTCTCAACAAACTAGGAATAAAGGGAAATTCCTTCAACGTAATAAAAGCCATAGATGAAAAACTCAAAGCTAGCACCATACTCAACGGTGAAAAACCAAAAGTGGTCCCTCCAAGGTCAGGAAAAATGCAAGTGTATCCTCTCTCACTGCTTCTATTTGACATAGTTCTAGAAGTCCTCGTCAAAGCAGTTAGGCAAGAAAAGGAAACAAAACGCATTCAAATTGGAAAGGATGAAGTAAAATTATCTCTGTTCATAGGTGACATGATTTTATAGGTAGAAAATCCTAAGTATCCCACACATTTGAAAAACGGTTAGAACAAATAAATGAGTACAGCAAAGTTGCAGGATATAAAATCAGCATATAAAAATTATTTGAATTTCTATACGCTAGCAATGAACCATATGAAAAGGAGATTAAGAAAACAATCCCATTTACATAATATCATCAAAAAGAATAAAACAGTTAGAAATGAACTTAACCAAGGAAACAAAGACTTGTGCACTGAAAACTACAAAACATTGTTGAAAGAAATTTTAAAAGACATGAATAAATGGAAATACATCCTATGTTCATGGATATGAAGACTAATATCATGAAAATATTCACACTACTAAAACCAATCTGCAAATTCAATGCCATCCCTATCAAAATCCCAATGGCATTTTTTATAGAAATAGAAAAAAATACTAAAATTAATATGGAATCTCAAAGGACACTGAATAGCCAAAGCAATGAGAAAGAAGCTAAAGACATCACACTTCCTAATTTCAAAACATATTACAAAGCTATGGTAATCAAAACAATATGATACCGACATAAAGATAGACATATATACCAATGGAACAGAATAGAGAACCCAGAAATAAACCCTGTGATCAAATGATCTTGTTTTTTCAATAAAGCTACACAATGGGGAGATGACAGCCACCGTAGTAGGGAGGTTCCTCAAAAAATTAAAAATAGAATTACCATATGATCCAGCAATCCCCTACTGGATATATATCCGAAAGAATTGAGAACAGGATCTGGAAGACATATTTTCACTTCCATGTTCATTTCAGCATTATTCATAATATCCAAAAGGTGGAAACAACCTTAAGGTCCATCAACAGATGAATAGATAAAGAAAATGTGGTATATAAATATAATGGAATATTATCCAATCTTAAAAAAGATGGAAATCCTGTCGTATGCTACAACATGGATAGACCTTGAGGATGTCATGCTAAGTGAAATAAGCTGGTCACATAAAGACAAATCCTGTGTGATCCCACTGACATGAGCTATCTAAAATGTCAAACTCTCAGAAACAGAAAGTAGAACGGTGGTTGCCAGGGGCTGGAAGAGGGAGAAAAGGGTAGTTGTTCAATAGAGATAGAGTTTCGGTTT